ACAGCTCCTCTGCTTTGAGACCAAAAGAAGGAGGAGGTAGAAGGCAAAACATCTGAGAGATGCCACTAAAAATCCTCAAGTTACTGCACAGCAATTCTGAATAGCAATATTGGTCTAGGGAGTACCGGGTTATAGTGCAGAAAACACACGAGTTTTGGGAATGGCAATATGGCTCAGTGCAAACTGAGAGCCACTTGTTAGCACTTCCTGCTGGAGGGCATATGTCACCAGCACATGGCAACTCACRGGAGTGTGAAATAGGATCATTACCCACTCCTGCCCCCCGTTCTGAAATAATGATAATGAAAACAATCTATTCCTCAGTCCTCCCAGGAACAGGAAGACTTGGAGAGGAACAAGAAAATTAAAACCAAAAATATCAGGGGACAAAAGTGATTTTTCAAAGTTAACTCCAAAGCAGTCTACGAGCTCAAATGCTTCCCTTGCAAATGCTCTTTTGGTTCAGTGGTAATTAGATCTCCCTCTAAAGATGCAGCACCCAGAGCAGCACTCATTTCCAGCGACTGCAGCACGGGGYAAAACAGCACCTGGAGAGCCCAGAGCGAGCAGAGGAGAGCTCAGAACATCTCTGCAAGCTCTCGAGTGTCACAAAGCCCAGTTTGCTCSAGGCCCTTCCCTGCTTTGCAGCTCATCTCCAAACACTCAGCAGAGCCAGAGCAGGACCAGCAGACATTCAGGAGAGCCAGGCTGCAATTCACCACCCACAGAAGGAAGGACCCAACACCAGTGAACTCCATCACAGCAACTGGAAGCAGGGACACCTYCCACTAGARCAGGTTGCTCAGAGAYCCATCCAGTATGTTTTGTTTTATTTCTAATMTTTTTAAATGTTTTTACTGCAATCAACACTTCTTTATTCATTTAATCCATCACCATTTTTTTCAGATTCTTATTCCCAGTGCTTGCCAGAGCACTCAGTTTCAGTAGGAAAAAATGTGATTACATCCTATAAAGTCACCAAGTATTTTCATCTGGAATATAAATGGAAGTAACCTTTCCAAACAGAACATATTAACATATGCCAGAGAATCCATTGGTTATTCTGAGACCTCTTTCCTTCAGTCTTTAATCACTAATGCTATCATTTTTAAGTCAAGTTTTACAAATGACAAAAGGACCTATAGCTCTCCTGGGAATGTGGGACTTTTYTCAACCCAGATGAGGTCTCACAAATGTGTTATAGCCTAGTAATTAATTTTTAAGAAGAAATGTTATCCCATTCCCTAAAATGATAAACAAAGCTGATTCTTCAGAATTCTATTAAGCTACTTGCAAATGAAGTAATCCTCATCTGAGAAGTACAAAYATGCAGATGGCCTATTATATCTTATTCTTTCAAGCAGAAAGAAATTAGAAGGAACCAGAAAGTAACAAATATCCCCAGGCAAGATTTCCAAGACCCTGAAGAAAATGGACCTGTTGCTCTTCAACTCTTGTGGTATAGAGAACAAAACTGATGCAATGCACCTAGAAAGGGGTCATGAGAGGAGAAAGGGAACTAAGTAAGTCGTCAGGAAATCAGGAGCTGTGTTATCATGGTGTCTCGAAGACCAAATCTCTCTGATCTTTGTTAAATCAATAAAGTTTGTGCTCCTGGCTTTAGGAGGTGCAAAACTAAGGATTTCAGTGGCTGTATATGTTTTCTTTCACACCCTTTTTCCAAGATCCCAGCAGCACCATGCTGTCTCCRTGACGGTGCATCCAGAGCCTTTGTACACAAGTCCAAATCTGAGCCTGGACCTCCAAACCTTTTCTGAACCTTTTTGTTCTGGAGAAATGATGCTTTGCAGGATGGTAAGGAGTGTTTGAGTACCCACTGTCCCTATGGATGCAGAAAAAGCACCAGCTCATTTGTGCAATTGTCATCTATTCCAGATATTTCACACACAGCRGGAAGAGCCAGTACCAGCTTACAAGGAACAGAAGCAGAGATTTTCATCTTATTATGTTATATATTCTTATTGYAACAWCYCWCAAATGYCCTGTRTTCTAGCAAWCCATTTTTAACCAGAAWTGTCCCATTCCCTACAATGRTAAACAAAGCTGATTCTTCAGAATTGTTAAGTAGTAGATTAAGTAGTTAAATTTACCAAATATTCATGTACAAATATTTACRAATACTCATAACAAAGTACAGGATAAATCTGTTTTGAGTTTTTATTTAGAGTTTTRTGATGTACATGCAAATCAGATTCCTTACAGAGCTGACACTTCACAGTTAAAGCAGGTCTTGCCTTCCCTTATGCCAGAGTTGCTTGTKCTTGTACCCTGCAGTCCCACTGAGCCTCCCCAAGGATAGCAGCACAAACAGCTGGAGTGTGGAACAGAAGGGAAACTCCATTCCTGATTTTAAATGCATAAGAAAATTTGCATCCAATTTCCATGTTTATTATAACACAGTAATTTTTTCTCCCTGCAAATAAAGGGCTTCACTCCTCCAGTGACAGAGAGGGYTGGTTTGGGTGGGCTGGGAATGGCAGGTGCTGGTTAAACTCGGTCAGGCCTGTCTGTGGAGCAAGAGAAAACACAGCCTTTGCCATTAATGAACYCTGGAGTTTGTCTGCAAAGAGAAATTGTCCTGGTGTGTCACACATCACATTGAGAAAAGGGGAGASCACGGGCAGCATCCCACCCTCTCCTTTTGCAGGGAGCAGAGCCTCTGGTAGGCAGTGGAGCACATGAACACACAGGAAGGCTTGGAGTAGAAATTTGTTGTTTTACCACAACTCTGTGTTTGAAAAAAGCAGCTGGACTCGCTGTGATGAGAAGCTGGTCTTCGTGATGGGGATTTAATTATTCTGGTATTGACAAAAATGAGAATTAAAGGAAGAACCAACCTGCTGACTTCCACAGGCAGTAAAAAACAAGTTTATCTTTCACTGTGTATTGAGCTCGTAGCTATGATAAATTCAATAATGGTCTGGTGGGTGTTTAGTGCTTTATGATAACATATCATTTGGCTTCAAGCAATCATGGTCTTAAGCTATGAAGCTAACAAATAAGACTTCAGAAAGCATCATGTTGCTAAGCTCAAATATTCCCAGAAAGGTGGGGKGAGAAAAGGAAAAAGTGATATTTAAAGCAAACAGAGTAAATAATGCAATCAGGTTGATCCCAGCAACAGCAAAGCTAAAAGTGATAATGGAAGTTACTGGAGTAAAGCAACAACATATCAAATATAGACAGAAAGCAATTACAAAAGGTATAATAGAAAATTGAAAGGACAAGCTAACTGATGTAAAAAGCTCACAAAAGCTCTGTAAACATTCAAGGGGGAGAAGTTGCTAATAATAATCCATGCAGGCTCAGGGAATGCTAATCAGCCTTGAGCTGTTCTTCATCTGTGCAAGGACGTATGGGCCTGTTCCAGGTTTAAATAAATGACAGAATGACAGAGATTAAACTCATTGATGTTCTTTTAAAAGTTAAAACAAAAAATTAATGTAAGAATTCTGGCATCAGTTAATAAKGCACCCAAAGTAGATTTACTGGACTTTTAGGGATTTTGTAAAGCCACTGATCTCTCTGCAAGGAAAACATGAAGTGAACATCTTTCTTCCACACCCATCACTGGGTGTGATGTGGGCCAATGCTGTCATGCTCAGCTCAGGAAATTTCCTGCCTTTCAGGCCTTTTCTRTATCACTCATTTCATTGCATTTACCTCTGCAAGAAGCCCAATTTAAATTACTTTTGGAGTGGACAAAAATAGAAATACAGATGCAGTACAAAGCAAGGAATACTGAATAGCAGGAAAATTAGACATCAGTCATCTCTAGGATCAATTCCACATTCAGCCTCAGCTTTTCTGGACAAGACAGTTACTTCATTGGATGTCTGGTAGGATTTTTAAAAACCTCCAAAACCCTCGCTTTTCAAAATCCTCACTGCATAGTCCACATTTCCTCAGCACGGGGCTCAGAGGGGTACTCACTGTGTATTAGAATTGCTAATTCTACAGCTGCACTTTCAGCATCTGAGGAACAAAATTCACATGAAGAAGAACAGCAGGAATCAAATTGCTGTCTCACATGGGCAATGCTGAAGACCCTCAGCTCTGCCTTTTTATTTTCACAGTATGGACATTGCTGATACAATGGAAAATATGTAAGGATGACACCACAGCACTGAAGTTCCATGTCAGAGGATGGCCTGGTTGCCGTCAACCTTGGCTGACTTAAATTTCATCTCTTTCTCTCCTTGGTGAGTTAGAGAAGTTGGCAAGTTCATATTCTGCTGAGTGAAAAGTAACCTGGTGGAGATGGGGAGCTTCGGTCACTTTATCAGCACATAAAGAAGCAACACAGATTTTATCCTACCCTCAGTAGGAAGGCAAGCACTGAGCTCTCTATTTTAAGTAATTGTTTTCTTGCTTTTAAAGCACATTTGTTTTTCTTAATTGCTGTATCTTTAACAYTGTCACTCATGCTAATCAAAGGCATTTGTTCTTGGAGTGTGACAGCCATCTAATAAAGAAATTTAAAAATTAAGCTGAACCATCTATAAGGAAATTGTAAGACTCAATATTAATGATCCACTTCAATCTTAAACAATAGAGTTTTGTGCATCACTGATGAATCAGCCAAATATATATAATATTCATTTTTACTTTGGACAGAAGYAGAATGCTCTCTGCTCCTGGCTCAGGGCATTGCAGAGACCTCACTCATTTTTCTGCTTGGGCCTGTATATCTGATTATTGGTTTCTACAAATTATTGGAGATAATTTTCTAAAGCTGAATCAAATGCCAAGAAATCAGTATCTCATGCTTTAGTTGTCCCTGTTTTCTCTAAGAGCAYGGTGACTTCTGCCAAGTGAGAAACTTCAAGCTATAGTTTTTGTTAGGAATTAACACTTCTGAAGCAAAATAAGCAAAATAAATCTCAAAACATGGGACTCAAAGTCAGTCACAAGTGTGCTGCAGAAAGCAAAGAAAAGACAATTTTGAGAAGAGACATTGAGCAAATCCTAGATTTAGAAGCAGACACTAAATTAGCAAGAATTAACACTTTTTTTCTTTTTATTAACAGCAGTTCCAATGTTTAAGTTCAATCATCAGTCAGTCTCACAGTTCAGAGATCAGAATATCTGGAACCCCTTCGAGGCACCTGGATATGTGCATTTCTTCCTCATACATTCCCCAAAGTCACAAAAACTTTCTTAACATTCACCAGCTTAAAATAAAAATACACTGAAAATGTACAATTTATTATAAGTCTTAGAACACCTTGTCTTTTCCCCATATATTTCATCACAGCAATATAAAATTCGAAGTTATTAGGTAGAGAGCATGATAATTTATTAGAGCTTCATCTCAAGCTCTACATACAATGCTTTTTCAACATTCTACATTCTTATTATGGTTTTGACAAAATTTCCCTCTGAGAGATTAGAATCATCAYCAAATGAAATTGTAATTATTTAGGCCCAAACCCTTTGAAGGWGCAAAAATAACAGTGTAAAATCTTCAGCATTCAAATTTCTAAGAATGGTAGTGTTTGTAAGCTAAAACATTTAAATGTAAGGGGACTTTATTTCAAGTACTGTAAAAGAGAAACATTGCCACTTACTGGCAGTACCAATGTCTTTGCAATATTTGTAGGCATTTATGTGCATCCTCAAATGCTCTGTTAACCTTTATAGTATTTGTCAATAAAAAGGCCCATTAACATTTAAACTGTGTATGTCCAACTACCTACCTCAAGCAAGAATCAAAAGATAGCCTGTAAGAAACAGTTATTTATTACAGGCTATGTTATTGGGACTGTATCTGTTGCAGATTTCAAAAAGCTCACATCCCTTACAGTTAAAAGAAACCCGAAAGGTAAAAAAAAGGTTTAAAAAAAAAAATCAATCATTAATTGGGAAAAAGGCTGTGGATGGCCTGAGCAGGAGATGTGACCACCATGAGTGAACGGGTAACACCAAGAACACGGTACAACTTTGGAAAGAATAGTGCAGCCAGCTGGAGCCACCTCAGGAATATTGGAGGTCAAAAGAGATCACACTGGATATGAAACCAGAACTGAAACACTGCTTTTGCAGTAGCAACATCAGAACTTACCTGATGTTAACAACTAACCTCACCTGACATCRAGAATTTGTCTTCATCAGGCAAAAACTTAATCAAAGATAACATTATYACTGGACAAGAACTGCAATCAGACCAGCCTCCTCAAACAAGCTGCTGAACTGGAAGTGACAATGACATAATTCACCAGTCCAGCTATGTCCCTTAAAACTTTGTTTCAAGCAACACTGATTTAGTAGAATCCCTGTGTGTTGCTTCTGTAAAGTGGGTATCTCAAAAGGTAAGGAAAAATCATCCCAGAATCTAGRCTGAAACTGAAATCAAGTAGTCTATTAGCACTGCTTTTATAAATCATTAATAAGAATAGCATGACCTGTTCCAATGAAAAGAAAAAAAGCATTGTCTTCAAGTATGAGAGATGCACTCACAGTGACAGAGGCATTCATTTAATCACTTTACAACAAGGAAATCCATAGACTCCACAGAAAATTTACAGCCAAAATGGAGCGAACCTGACAAATGGTGCTCACGTAGCAAAAACGAAAATGTCAAGTCTGCAAATTCAACAAAACTGTGTTTTAGTGGCTTTGCCTCCTCAGGCTGCAGTTTGACAGAGCACCACTTCATACAATCCTTCCTTTCACCTCACGTCCGTCTTGTCTTCTGTTTCTTGGTTTGTCTCTTTGCATCCTCGGAGCCCCCCGTGTCAGAGCCTGCCTGTCCAAGAGCACGCACTCCTTGCAGCCGAGTTGTCAGCTGCAGCARTAAAGGAATCAGCTGGGGAAAAACAAAAGGCAAGCAAGTTGTGGTTACAATGGTGTGTAAAGTCTGAATGGTGTCGTTCTTTAGACATTTAGCCCCTAACAAACAGAATCCATTGCATGAATGGCATCTCTACAAAAACATCAGAATATGGCAGCAAATCTTGGGGAGGAATCAACCCAAACTTCTGGGAATTTCTGATAATCAAAACCTAAAGTGATTGCTTGAGAGGAAATCAAACTGCACACACAAATTTTATTTYTCTTCCTGGTAAAACAGAAATCCAGTCATATCAGTAAAGTCTAGAAGAGCACAGCTTGATAACAAAGACATGGGGTTATATAGCAGGTATGTGTATTCCTCTTGAGCACTTCTGAACTATGGAGGGTCTAAAGCTAAAGACTTGCAAGACTTTTCCAGTCTGACTGTTCCTGAAGCCAATAAAATAATTATTTTCATCCCTGCTATCACTTAACACAGTACAGTGTATTCAATGATAGGATAATAATATTTGGGTAAGAGCAAAACCACCCTTGGCCCACCTTATCATGGTTGTAACCAGCCAGCAGCAGGAGCAGCGTCAGCGGTAACGCGATGTAAGACCCTTGGGCAATATCTTGTTCAGGCAGCTTTCTCTGGAAACAATGCACATCATGGAATTTATTTTTTTTTAAAACAGTTGATTGTGAAATGCCTCAGCTCTAAGAAACATCAGCAACAGGATCATGTGGCACAACCAGCCCTTCTCATCTGACTTCCTTCCAAGTGCTGTTCTAGGATTTACTTTACTTTCCTCTTCAAAGCCACCCTCTGGATCAATCACTGTGTTAACCTGAGGTGTGCTGCTCTGTAAAGCAATTCCTTGATGGTCAGTGTCCACTGACAGTCAGCCTGGTGGGCTTTGCTTCACCTGTGCCATGCTGCCCACACCTCTGTGACCCCAGTGATTTCACTGCAGCAGCCAAGCCAGCACAGAACCTTTCAGGCACATCTGCACCCTTCATTTCCTACTGCTGTTCCATGTTTCCCTCCTGCTCCACTGGCAACTGAACACTCAGCAAATCCAAACTGATTGTCACTTTAATGCCACTCATAAACCTCTTTATATTTACACTAACAGAAAGCTTGGCCAAGAGCACAAAATACATGCAGGTTGTAACCTCTAATACTGCTCCCAAGGTGAACCCTTGAACATAGAAATATTTAGTGCTTACAGTGGGACTGAAGACCAGTGTAATGTGTTTATGATATCCAATGGCAGTGAAAGAAACTTGAGGCAGGGTGTAGTCATACTGGGATTTAGACAATGTAGAATCCAGGAGCACCACATAATTCTGTGGGTAAAAAAACACGCTCAGGCTACAGCATCGGGAGCAGTGAGACAAAATCACATTTAAAGGCAAAAGTCAGATAAACAGGCTTTAAATMTGCCATGACACTGGTTAGTCCAGCATGAATACAGCTCTGTAGGCACACCACAAATTACACTTCAGTGTCCTTAGGACACTAAGGGAAAAAAAATCAGTGATCTAAGCTAATTTCCCAGTCATGTTCTTACCTCTCCATCTCGGAGTAGTGGTGGGAAATGGAAAAACAGGGATAGGCCTAAGTTGACTGTATGAATTGGGTTGTCAAGATTTTCACTTTTGTAGAGCTTCACCTGTAAATGAAGGAAGAAAGCACAAACCAGGTATTTCTGAGCCTGCACCACAATAGATATTTCAGACAACCCACATCTTCAGAGATAAAAGCACTTCRAAATTCATTGTGTGTTTATATAAACAGAAAGTTGTCAAGTAAGAACAACTGGAAATGTTTGAATCTGGGATGTGAAAAGTCACAAAAACAGTCTTTTTATAGAACTTGCAATAATTTAGAAAATACTGCTGTGTGACATTTTCACACACCTAGTGCATGAAARGCAATCTGTGCTGTGGATCACAAAACTGCTCCCACTTGTGTCTGTATCCAAAGTTAGCACATCTTTCAAAGACAAGAATTTCTGCCTTGGAGGCCAGGGTGATGGCATGGACCCATCAACAGCTCATGTACAGTACATGCAACTCCTAATATGAAACAGGCACAGGCTTGGGTAACTTCCATATAGTCAAATTTTGACATGCATTCCTATTTGCTTCAGCTGAACTGCGGGGTTCTAAATTTCCCCAGAAAGATGGGGCACATGCYCAGGGGCTCTTCAGTAAGGTGATATATTTTCCCTTCAAACCTGCTGAGTGTGGGATCCTTTGAATATCCCCCAAAAAACCCAACAGTTTAGCAATGAGATCTTGGCAGGTGAGATGAATAACAAAGTAGTTAATTTCACAGAAACTGGTGTGAAAAAAGGCCAAGCACTGCATWTATATTTGTAGGTAACATTTTAAGGAGCTTTTACACCTGAGAAATGATACTGTAACTCCTACCTCACTAACACCTCTTGCAGACAGTTTTAGCATTTGCACCCTAAGCGAAAAGGTTCAGTTTATCAAGTTTTTCCAGATCACAGTACAGTGCTCTCAATTTTGAAAATYCCAGCTTTTTTCTTTGTCTCATACTGTCTATTATTACGTACTTTTAAATGCCCATGCCCTGTGGTATCACTGCATTCACATGGTATGTTCAGATTTTGACATACACATCAAAAATTCCAAKTGTTTCAGGAATTAATGCAGTTCTCTGATACAAAGGACTCATTTCACCCTTGCTGTCTTGATCCCTCTACAGACAGAGCATCCTTAATCAGGGAAGCAGATTCCAAAACATACATGCCAACCAGAGAAAGTATTTCTTGAACATATTCCCACGAAAAATGGAAACATTAAAGCCAAAGCAGTCAGGAACATTGTAATCTTCATTCGATCAGGAATTCAAATTCAGCTTCATTAAACTATTAGTTCTCATTTGAATTACATGTGTGCTCTGGCTAYTGGACCATTCCTACTGACCCTGCAAAAAAATCATTGTGCAAGCAATAACAAACACACTTGACAAAGATGAAAGGCTTGAACTTACACATAATGTGGAGAGATATTCAGAAGCTGTAATTACATTTCCACTTAAATCAAATTGATTAATTTGCCGGAATGCTATAATATTAACATCATCAATGTCACTGTTCCCAACCTGCAATGGAAAACAGATTCAGGTTTTTACCAACAGAGGAACAGTAAACAAAGAACWGTAACACAACTGTTAACACAACACAAACCTTGCTGATAATTTTAAATGAAAAGTGAATTTTTTTCTATACGACCACATGGAAGCTTGAAGGCTTTCCCATTGCAAGTCCCTGTTCTCCAGAGTGCAAAGCTTGCAGCTGCAGACTGGTGCATTATCAGCGTGAGGCTCATGACATTAAGCTAAACTAAAAGTGAAGTATCAAAAGCATACAATACTCTGGAAAAGGCTGAGGTACATCCACAGGACTGCCTGATCTCAGGACATTGATTTCAGTATTTTGCATCTGTGCTGAGAGATGCACACAGATGTTTATACAGTTGATTAATGCGGAATTTTAATGGGATTCCACCGTTTTCAATTCAAAGTTGTTATTACATTTTATAAAGACTTGCTAGTCCAAATTACAATTTCATCTACATCAGGACTRCATGATTTGGACCCAATAAAACATAAAAATATCTATCAGTCCATAACCAAATACAACTATAGGAAAATRTGACAACATATGACATCCCCAAGTTACTATTGCTCTGTTCCACATCATAAAGAAACACTGAAAGGTATTCCATACATTTTTCTCTWGTTTCAGGATGCATACTTTCCATGMCTGTGAAAGAATCCTTTCCCKTGTTTACTGTTTGGGCTTCATCTCACTTCAGTTTTGAGCTGTGGTGCTGACACACAATATGGGGCCTGTATTTAGGGAGCTAACTTGCTGAAAGGCACTTGTCTAAACAGAATGCATTCACTCCATTCCTGCTGGTAGAACAGACAGAATGCCTAGACAGATTCATTTCATATTTAAGTGATACTACAAAAAAAGAGAAACAATTACCTCAATTGCCCGATGCTGTGGTAAAGCTCTTTCAATGTGATCATTGCCTTCAGCTTTGAGTTGGACATGATACACACAGCCAGGCTGAAAGCAACATTCAGATGATAAATCCCAGCACTGAATAATACACGCTTTAATTTTAGAGAGCACTAAGAGAATTTTCTAACACTCCATTTAAGATATGCCACCCAAACAGATTTAACTCTATGCAGCTGAAGTTTTCCTTATCTCAAATACAAAATTTAACTCAATAACACTGCTASGAGTGTTTACTGTCAGAAAATAAGAAAAGGCTATCACAGAACTTTTTTTAGCTTGTTACATCACAGTATTGAAGAAATCATCKGCTGTGATGGAAGAAAACACAAGATTAAAACTTGACTGAACACTGCTTTCTACTTCAGCAAATTGCTGACTCCTTACATAATGGTCCCATAAATTCAGTTTCCCCATTCCCTGCAGAACAGCTTATTTCACATACATGCTGTGCAATCAACATCATACACTCATCCAAAATCCTGCTAACAACAGGCTGTTGGTGTCTTCACAAGAGACTCTAAATGTTTCCATGAATTCTTTTGCCTATGAAAATTCCTTGCTGGCCACCCAAGCACTGACCAGGGGCTTGTGTTTTGTCACACCAACTGTTCAGTTTGTGGAGGCCATCACTGGATGCTGCCAGCAAATTCACAGATTTACACAAGTTCTTCCCCCTTTTATCAGRCTGAATGTTCACTACATGACAGTGTTTCTTCACACAGAGAGACTCAAGGGAGTCTGAGTTAGCAAACATGATGGGAAAACAGAAATCAGTGGCTGCTGAACAGAAYCCATTTCACTGCTCCATCATCACACTGACAGAAGAGTAAATGACAGAGAGCCTCCTACTCCTTACCCGAAGGCCACGGAGCCTGAATTTGCCCTCTTCATCAGTTATTGTGTCCTCTCCATAGATGCTGCAGTCATTCTGTCCCACAGCCTCCACTGAGACTCCCTGCTCAGGCTCTCCATTTAAAGAGGAAACTGTGCCATAACAGCTAGAAGTATAGAATCAGTTGATACAGATGTGCAGATGCTGTTTTAATGCATATTTTAAAGACATTTTATTGTTATAACTGATGGGAAAAATACTTAAAGTACTTACCATAGCATGGAGAAGAAAAGGGTTATTTATAATGTGTGGGTAAAACAGTTTAAATCATTTAAATTTGCTGCARTTCAGAGCACAACTTTAGGAATCCAGGTTCCCTAGATGCCATGAATAGCATCTCTTTCTTACCTCTGAGGGCAAGGAAAAGAAGGATCTTGAAGTCAGATACCTGAATTGGTCTGCCATACCAAAAATAGTCCTCTCATTTCCCACTGGAGGCAGCACAAACCAGTTCCAGTGCCACTCAGACAGTGCTTTCACAGCCATGTTTCTCCCTACAGCCCTATCCTCTGACCTTAGCTATGTAGCCACACCCACGAAAAAAGGGAAAAAAAGGTACTTAGACACACCACAATAAAGTTAAATTGAGACTTTGAAAGTCTCCAAACCTGCAAGAACAGAGGTGTGCTGGGGGGAAGCACACTTTTGGCACAACACACCCTAATACACACACAATGTTTTCCAYGGCATTCCAGCCCCACTGACCTGTAAGCTGTTCTGTAACCAGTTATCTGGATTTTGAGATTTTGTCCTTCCTGCACTTCAATCATTTGTGATGACGGTTCAAAGCGAAATTCTTTCATCATGGGTTTAAAGTAATACTGTCCTGGGCTCTGCAAAGAAGCACAAAACAAGCTGTTTACTCACAGGGATGAAAAACTCACCAAAAAACTCGTAACAATCATGCAAGAGCTCTCTGAGGAGCTGAAGTTCTCTGTTCCAACCCCAGGTTAAACTGGTCAGAAAATGTGAGCAGCAAAAAACACACACTAGACAACAAAACGATGGAATTCTACSTGGTGACAAAGTATTAAGGGAGAAAGGAAACTCCAGCCCCAAAACCTTACCACAAGACCTCAAGGACAGGAAAGTGACCACAAAAGAAGGATGTCTGCAAGGAAACTATTCAAGCATGTCTACACACATAGAGATCAATAATGTAATTAGATTTCCTTCCCCTAAAGACTCTCAAATGAACATCAACAAATTGGTTTGTTTCATGTTTACAGACTGCAAATTAGTAACTGAGATCAGTCAGCATCATCTATTACCTGTTGGGGAGAAATCTCTTGCCATGTTAGATTTCACATCCTTCACTTGCTAAGATTTGAAGTGCTGTTCTTTCTCAGGGATCTACACCTCTCACTGTGGGTTAGGGTTTCAGAGGACACTTGCCATTCAAGAGAGCCCTAYTGGGGAGAGCAAAGCACCACGCAGCCACGTTCAGAAGGATCATTTCAACTTACCAGATTGGAAAAAGTCAGCATGCCATTATCCTGTGTGAGGAGGTTGGACCGAAACACCCCTCCACTGAGAGACAAGAGAACTCCAGCAAGAGCTTGGTCATCCTCTGATTTGATCTGGTTTTGGAAAAAACAGTTATTTTAAGCGTGAGGGTTTCTTTATGGAGAAGGGTTCAGTTGAGCAGCCCCTTGCAGGGTGCACAGGTGTAAGCAGAACTATCCACATGTGCACTGCTGTCCCTCCTGCCAGATTCCAGTGGAGAACCCTCTRCTCCCACCCCCTGGGCAGCCACAGCCCAAGGGACACCCTGTGCCACCACAGCAGCCATTCCCCACCACTTCATAGAACAGACTGAGGGACTAGAACAAAGCACCCCAAACACTGGAACCAGGCACTAGTTGGAGCAGACTGCATATGAAAAAAGTCACCCTGAGGGATAAAACTCATTAAGAGATGGTGGTTCAGCTCTACGAAAGCAAATAAAAGCCAGTCTTTTGGACWGCAGGCTCTAACTTTCACTTTATAAACCATGTAGAGTATTTTACGAATGGCAAGTCATGGTCTGCAAYTGAGTTCATCCACTGAGATTTGTCTCCTCATGACAAAAATTATTATCCAAACAATAATAAATTATCCCCAAATCCCACAYCCTTTTGTCTTTGAAAGACATGGGTTAACTTTTTGCCTGTCCAGCTCTAAATGTACACACTACTCACTTAGAACTCAAAGTTCAGAACATTACCTCAAATGTCACCCCAGCAAGAGCAAAAGCTTTGAAGTCTCCAACCGTTCCTTCTACTGCAGACAAAACAAAACGTTCTTTCTGAGCAGTGATCGTGTATTCCAAGTCACTGTGGAGTGGCCCAACACTTCAAACAAAAGGAAAACAGAACTTGTTTCAGAAAAAAAAAAACTTGGATATCACACACACGTTGTCAAATTACCACTGAATTTTAACTAAAGAATCCAAAGGTTCAAAACAAATCTGTTCATTACCTGTAAGTGCCTTTGTCATCGGTGAAAACGGTGATAAGTGGGGAAGTTGCTCCCTTCTCACTAATGACAATCTCAACACCTTCCAATTCAGGATGGATTTGCCCTTCCAGAAAYAAGCCTGCTTTTCCATGGATCTCTATCAGCTTCCCAGGACAACTCTCTTGGTCATTGTGAGGGGGATTCAAGACAAAGAAAAAAGTCAAAAATACACTTGACATTTTGGCTTACAAGAGGAGTTTAACTGCTTCCAAACTGATCAGCTGATGTACTTTTACCTCAGTATAAGAGATCATGCCACACAATTTTATGGTCTCTCAACCCTGTAAGTGCCTTTGTCATCTGAACAATACCAAAATGAGTAATTACATATCAAAGCTATAAGCACATCTCCAAAACAAACTTGATGGATTTYCTGAGTGATCATAGGATACATTATGTTACATATATTGCAGCCACAAGGAGATGGCAACAATATATATAATTTCCTTCTAGCCAGATTACACCAATCTTTGAGCACATTTTTTTCAGTTCAAATTCAGGTYATGTTTAGTGGAATTAAGCAAAATTAAGCATATGTCATGTTTAGTGGAATTAAGCAAAATTTTCTTTCCCTTCCTCAAATGTATTTAGAATGTGCAAAGAGTCACATGAAAAGAGGCACTTAATATTTCATGATTTCAAACAAAACACGTTCACTCAGTAGGAACCTGAGGACAAGTAGCATCAATAATTGATGATATCCCTGCCAATTTTGAAGTTTACTTTTTTTWWWAAARTATTTTTATTATYGTAATTTAGTGAAGCAAAAAAAGAATCTTAWAACAGAAACTTGAATTTGACAAATTCAAAATAGGAACCTTGGTTTTGCCCAACTCTTTTTCTAGCTGACAGTAAYATGAACAATTCTTAGAATCTGGTGTAAGACCCAGAAAACCATGCTTCCTCTTGTGCCAGGTGGTTCTTCAGCACCTGRAGAAATATTCTGCTGATAAAAACTGTATTTGCATCCTCTATCAATTAGCTTCAGATTCCAGAATGAAACTAGCCCAAAGAAACAGCTGCAAATGAAACTTTCTTATCTTTCATTCATAGGTTTGCCTACACAGACATATTTGTACCTTAAAAATCTRCTCCTTTCAAACAATAAATTATTTATATTTACCTCCACTAACAACTGCTTCCACATAAGGTGGGTAGAAAAGCAGCTCTTTTGACGATGGTGTCACAGTGATTTTCTCTCCAGACCTGTGTAAAACACAAATAAGACATAATTAAAAGGAAATTCAATCAGCAGCTCTSATGTAGAACAGAGTACAGCATACTGACCCAAGAAAAAAGCATCAACAATAACCCAAGCAAAAGTTTTATGTGGTATCAGTTTCCATGGGCACCCAGACAGCAGCTCTGTCCTGTCTGAAATTGTATCACTATTCTGCTTGGTAGAAACACCACAAAATAATAAAAAAAAATACACCTTGTCCACTTGGTATTACCTTGCCCAGTATGAAAATTCATACAAGAAAGGTCCTTGGAGCTCCTCCACCATTTCTTGCACAGGTGGCTTTGTTCCCTCCTCCTCTTGACCCTTCTTTTCTCTCTCCTGCCGGCGGCTCTCGATTTCTGCCAGCTGCTGCTCCCGCCGGAGCTCCTGAACAGATTTCAGGGGTCCTAAAACTAAGGCAGGTTCACTGTCAATTGATGACCTGAAAACATGGAGAAAAAACAAAATCATCTCCTTCCATATGGAGAGATAAGAGCTTGTAATATCTGTTAACTACTGCCATTTTACCACCGCAAACAAGCCCCAGGATGTTTTTTTAACCCATTCAACTGCCCTGTTTATTCTGGCAAGAGCTCAGGAATGGTAAATTTTTAGGCCAAAGGATCAGTTTGCAAGAGTTCCTTTAACAAAGCCCTAAAGTAGAAAGCTGGAGAGTCAAACTGAGAACAAGCTTAATACAGAAAGGATCAGTTATACAAAATAAACAAAAAAGATTGCTAAGCTTGCTTTTTCTTTCAGAACTAGGAACTTCAAAGCACTTGGCATTAGCCTCCAAAAACACAACAAGCTGAGAAGGTTACTATAATATTCACCTTCTCACTAAGTTGTTTCTAAAATCCTAATGGCTCTCTGCTGTCTCAATGTCTCCCTTCCAGCTGCTGGAATTGCCCAGCAGTTGCAGTGATAGGGTCATTCATCTTTGAGAGCTGGAGGAAATGCTCTGCAGGTAATGCTCACTGAAAAGATGTTTTCTGCACTCAAAAAAGTTTGAGAACCCACAGTCTAGAACAAGCAGACATCAGCAGAGCACTAATAAACCACACATCATTATCAGACACTTTCAGGCAGATTTGGCACCTCATACAATTAAAGCTGTTCACAAATCAGTGCTCCCTAGTGAGTTGTCTGTTCAGCTGAACATAAATTGGTGCATTAGTGTGCAAYTGCTCTGCATGCTTTTCCTTTTATGACCCTCTTCACACCAGTAACAATGCTCTAAAGCAGCAGATTCTCATTCTGAGGAAAGAATAAAAAGGAAAAAAAATAGATGACAGTGCCTAAAGAGCTCAGACCTAAGCTAAAACAATACCCTCTGAATTCTGAAACATCAGCCCATTAAAGTATATAAAAACTCAGAAAATAATTTCTTTTTACCAAGACACAAAAGTAGGGAGGGGAAATGTTGAAATGATGAGACAATGCTCAAAATGAGGGATGGTTCATCGCTCTCCAAAGAACTCAAAGCACATCTGTAGCATAAAAACCTCTTGCAGCCCAGAATTCTATGCCATCCCCTTAGAAAGCAGCTACTGCAGCACTAAAACTGGAGTAAAGCTTTATGAGAGAGATGTCTTTTCTTCACTTTTTATAGCCCCATGATTTTTTTGTCCTTACTTAATGGTAACAGTGACATCCATCAGTTTATCTGTTACGATCGTGCCAAGGACATGGTGTCGAACTGCAGTGAGTGTCAGGATACTGGGAGAGGACCTGCAAATCAAAGGCACAAAGACATGAATTCAAGGCCCCCTTCCTAAATAACCAAATCTTATTAGGCAGAGACTATGCTCCCACCCCTGAGATTGAAATGCTTTATAAAAGCCATACAGAATTTACACAGCAAAGTTGTAGTGCTGAGATGGTCATGSATTGGAAGGGGAGTATTTTCCAACTCTGAGCTCAAAAACAATTTCTTCTTTAGCACTTTCTGCTTCCTCTCAAGCTAAAGCTGATTTGATTGATTTCCTATGTACAATCCCTTTACACACAACAGGACACTCAAAAGTTTGTCGTATTAGATGTGGTTCACCAAGATGCCCCAAGTCTAATGGTGATTTGCTGCCAAAAGAAGGTTTCTGCCTCTCTCCCTTCATTCACCTTGTGCTGGCTCTCACGTGTCTCTTTTAAGTACTTTTAATTTACTAACAGAGCAGAAAATAATCAGATTCTAATGTTGCATTTATTTTCTGCCRCGGTCATGAATGAGAAATAGCCTGAGGGCAAAAATCCTCTTTTTCTAAGCAAAATTCCATTAAGTACATCACCAGACCATAATCTATAAATAACTAATTAAACTTTGCTGACCAGGGAAGATCAGCACTGCTTACTTGTGATAAGGGTGAATATTTATTCACCTTGCAAAAAATGGGGAGAGRAGAGTCATGCACTACTGACATGCAATAGTGGTATGTGCCTCTTAGGAAACTTATTATCCCGTCTTTTGCATTTCAACTCCCAGAAGCGATCAACAATTTTCACTGAAGTAACTTTTCCTTGTTACAAAGTCAACCCAACACTAAACAGACAGAAAACTGACAAAAATACCCATCTAAAGTAACTAAAGCACCTTGAAAGCCTATCATTAGTTCATTTTTATTATTTTTAAGATAGAAACACATGTGATACACTTTGCTAAAACTTCCTTCTATTTCTTAGACACAGTCCTAGCCACACATCGAGAGCTGCTGAAAGCAAGCTGCTGCAGCASGAGGAAGCTTTATGGAAAATCCTCTGGAAGGTGTAAGGTCAGAAACAGTCACACTCTTACGTGTCGTAGGTGTAATACTCRTGTTCAAACTGGTGGCAGGAGCGCGGGGTCACTTCATACACACCTACAGACATTAAGGCAAAGAATGATCTGCTGAAAAAATTCAAGTTGGCTGAATTCTCAAGATCACATGAGACCAGAGRTACAGAAACAACTATAAAATTGGACTATGTATCTGCTGCTTTCACACAGATACCTTCTAATGTGACTGACAAATAGAGCCCATACCAATAAAATTATTTTAACATCATCTCCCTTCATCARAGTCCATCACCAAGAAAAAAAATTGTAATAAATATTTTATTTCTGGAATCTAGATTTAGGTGAAGGACTAAATAGCAGAAGAAATGGAGAATTCTAAAAACTTGGARCAGATAGTTTACATACAGATGTAATTAAAACAATGCCTTTCAGAAACCTCAGAAAACACAAGAGATTTTTTTTGGTAGTTCCCAGAAGTATCAGCTGACAGGTTATTTTTCATTTTTTAAATTAATATTTTAAAGGTGTTACCTGGCTTTGAAAGACAGAATCTATTAACTCCTTTGGACAGGTTATAAACACCAACATTCTCTGGTCCATTTCCATCCTGATAAAATTCCTGTGAAGCCATAGCACAATTCACTGTCAGTAACTACCAAACAACAAAATGAAAACAGCATTTGCCTAAAGATGCATCAATGCATCTCCTTCCCAGCATCTAACATGACAAGACCATTTTACCAAACCTAAGGGACAAATCTCAAAGCACTCTAAACATCAATACCATGCTCTGTGACCCTCCAGAGAAAGGAGAAAGCCTTGATTCTGAGCATAATCAAATCCACCCACACAAGGTCATAAAACACATGCAAGGACGTTTGTTTCCTACGTACCAGTGTGATGGCATGAGAAAGAGAACACCTCAGCATGTATCCAGTCTGTCTGAATTCTACTCCTGACACATCTTCCTCCAAGACTTCCAATTCTAAAGATTTATTCTTCCAGCACCAGTCTTCATGTACAATGCTTACTAGAATACACACCACACAAAGCATTTTACTGATATAAAACTGTGTAAATAGGGGAAGATTTTGAGGTATAAAAAGCTTGTATCACTTGAACTTCCCTGATAATAACATTCAAAGATAAATACACAACAATGCCTRTAATAAGAGACCTGGCTCACAGCACTGTAACATCACCAGGAACCCAACACAGCATCAGGAAAGCAATACTATGAAAAGGAATAATGAAGCCTGGCTCTCCTGGAAGGCTCCTCAGTGGGCACTACCACTGTGACARGCAAAGCAGCCTAGAGGATATCACACCCTAACCCCAATTTAACTTGCGGAAAGATGTTTCCACTCCCGTATAAAGAACGCAATCTATATATTCCTTCTAAGCCTTTCCCTGGAAAGCAATGTATTTTCACAGGCCAAGGCAGGCTGGCCAAAATATAMATTGCTCATGGGAGCAGCACTCTGGAAGCAGAACTAGAGTGTGCCCCTRTTCTTAGGCTTGGGACAAGCCAGCTCATGATAAAGCCCACTTCCCCCACACCAGCTACACAGACCCTATAACTCTGAGGAATAGCAGCCTTTGGGCTGACACCAGGTTAAACATACAACATTTAAGAAAACCTGATGCACTGTTGTGTTTTTTCCAGATTCTCTCAACTCTCACAGCATTGCTGATAACACGATAACAGAAGTGCTCAGATTAGGTCACAAATGGAGCCAGCAAGGTCCCCCACAAGCAGTCCTACCTTTGTACTTGCCCGGGAGCACCCCCTCGAAGGTGAAGGGCACCGAGTCCCTGCTCCCGGCCAGCTGCAGGCTGCGCTTCTCCCCCTGGCGGCTCACAGACTGCAGTGTCACCATCAGGTCCCCACACGCGTCTGGGAGGGAACACAGGACATGAGCCTACCCCCTGCAGCCACACCTCGGGGGTACTAACATTGAAATGGTTACTCCCTCCCAGTAGAGGAGGTTTCCAATTAAAACTCGTTTCTTAGGCACATGTTTACCAGTGGGTTTTTGCACTCTGCAGGATTTTGAGACTGTTAATCATACTCTTTTAACTAATGGCAAGTAAAGATCTGTGATCAACATTAAATCCCTGAATCCACTACACTCTGCAGAGACTAAAGAGCACAGTAAACACCTGAAAGACAGAACACAAGGTGCAGGGAGGATTCAGAGAGAAAAAAGGAAGGGTAAAAATGACAAAAAACAGGCTCCAATCATCATCTGCTAAAATCAGTGGGTAATCAAGGAAAATAGCAGAAGAACCTTAAAGTAAAATAAGGACAAAAAGCTATGAAAGAGAACAGAGATTGAAAGCTTCTGTCAATACCTTGAGCAACTATCCTAGAGTTTTTACATGCACTGCTTTCTCTTCTTTTTTTTGTAAGCTTCTTTTTCACCTCAAGTACTTCTCTGATGGATGCACAGTATCCCAAGTGGCAGTCAGGACCACTTCCTTCCTACCCATCTTCTAAGGAAGGAATACTTGATTATCCTCAGTAAGTATTAAAAGTAGGTACGTAATTTTACTCCAAACTTTGTTCRGGTAGGTCATAACAGGTCATGACCTTACTAGGTCATAACATCTCCCAAAAAAACACCTGTTTTTTCCATGTGCTGGAAGCTACATTTATCTATCTGCTGATGGGACTAACCACAGAAAGTGCCTTGGTCTCAATAGCCTTCCCTCACACATGCAGTGCYAAAGTTCTCCATTCCCATTGCCATTTTACTCTCACAATGRACTCACCTAAACAAGAGATCTTCCCTGAGACAGATGCCAAAAACTGAGAGAAGGTCACAYCCATCACTGGTCTGTCAGTGACAGTGACAGGGAACATTTTGGGTTTCAAAGCCAATCCTGCTCTGGTCTCAGCCTCTGGAATAACTACCTGTAGAGTATATGACAGCAAGATATCAACAACTTTCACATACTAGTACAAATACACCCTGCTGTCTTCAACCCAGAAATTAGAAAATGGAAACTTACTGTAAATCCCAAGCAAAGCAAAGCCAGCCTCTCCAACATGCTTTCCAAAATATTAAAATCTTCTAAAACACCATGACAAGTCTTACAATGAAGAAATGAAAGTTCATTCTTACCTGAACATTGTATGCACCCGATTTTGCCTTGAAACAAAATGCTCCGTGAGGGTCAGTTTCTGTTGTCACCTGTGATGCTTTGTCTCTGTCTTCAGGTATCATGGTTACTTTGTATTTACTGATCTGTTTGACTGTGTCAGGGAATCGAGTTACTGAGATGCGGCCACACACACTGAACCTGTTAAACAAAAGCCAGTCATCAGAATGAATGTCTTGATTTGACAAAGATCATAAAAAACACTCATTTTAAAATTTCCTTAGAGAGTAAACCTCACTATACTGAGGTAGTAACACCTGAATTGGAAAGAATTCCTCCTAAATGAGAGATTTGCAAGCAACTTGCTTCATTCTTCCCTGTCCTCAACCCAATCACTTCAAGCCTTTTCACTTGAGGTTTTTTTTTGTGCTAGGCAGGCAATGGATTTAGGACTTTCTTTCCTCAAGTTTTAAATAGTTTCAAATGTTTCAAATATGATAGGTAATCCACTGGAACACAACCTTGGTACACCTACACTTGTAAAAGCATAAGATGACAAAGCAGAAGCTGGCAAATTTTGCTTATCACCTTCAACAGCACAACATAATTAGTTACTGAATAAACTGTACCAAATCAGTTAGCAGCACACAGGGTTTTTTTCCTAATTGTCTGGCTATGTCTGTAGGAGCTGACTGCCGTTTGACTCAGTAAATTCCTAGTTTTCACTTCTCCAGGATGTTGTCACTATTTCCTCCTCAAAGTCCTGGACACAGGCTCATGGCCCTTTGATCTTCCTCAGCTCACGTTGTATCTCCCACCACTGCACAGCCTCAGACTCACAGTCAAGGCATCAAACAAGAAAAAGACAATTCAGGTAAGGCAACAATGACTTTGAGAGAGAGCAGTAAAAGGCAGAGGTTTGGTACAACACTGTCCCAGACAGCTGTGTGACTCCAGATACCCTCCTGTGCAGGAGGGAAGTGGCAGAAAGCATCACATACCATTCTAGAATTCTTAACTTGCCCCTGCCATGGTGTCTTCATTTGCAAAGGAGGGCTTATTAAGAGRRTGCTSTAAACCTTAACTATTATTGAGCAAAATACTGTGGAAAAAACATGCATTCACGCTGTCCTATTTACCTTGAATTTCTTCAGCAACATTTAGCTGCTGACAATGCTACACAAGTCTGGGCATGGCACGGGAAAGGATCACCCATTTTCATGGCCTCATCCACATATCAAATCGCATTTTCCTCATGACACCAGTCCTTACCCTGTTGCAATGATGTTTGCCAGCTGAGGTGTATTTGGTGCAATCTTCACAGTAATAGTATCAAAAAACAGGTGTTCTTTCCTGGCATGAATTGTGTATGTACCCGTTGTTATGTTCTCCAGGCGGAAAGAGCCATCAGCTTTTGTTTTCACTGTAACAAAAAATAAGAAGAGTTAAAAACCAGAGCTTGTGTTGAACTGTCTACCCTTATGTATCAACAGATCCAGAAGGMATGCACTGCTTTAGGCTATTTTTAATTCATATTACACAACAAAGAAATAGTTTGCTTTTTTACTAATCAACCTTCATTTCTGTATTTCCAAGTACAATCTGGCATATGGTTGAAAGAAATTAAGATATTTTCAATTGCCAAACAAACGAACACTTAATGCTCTCACCTAAGCCGGAAAATGCAAAATTGATCAACTGCATGAAACCCAAATAAATTGCAATAGAAGCAGTTTATTATCCTGAAGGGTTAATTCCCCATCATACACTAGTCCTGTACTTGAGTTTARTAAGGGCTGCCCTGTAGCAACAAATATCAAGAGCATTGCATACCTTTAATCTGATTGTTCAGAGTCACAGTGGCATCAGCAACTCCTTCTCCTTCAGGACCATTTAACACCCTGCCTGTGACAGAGAAACCCATCACATGGAAAACAGGCTGAAATGGGAAAAAAAATCAACATCAGTCTTTACTCAGGAAATGCAAACACACACCTACAGCAATCAACACCAACTGTTTTCTCTCCACATACAAATAAAGGAAATGTATTTCCAGCTCTAGGAAAAAAATGTACCAGGATAATCACAGTGAAAGTACACATTGATCTGCAGGCACACTGTTCCCCTAAGCACAAAACACACATTCCCAATTTATCTGCACTGGTACAGCTCAAAGGGCCCCAGTCACAGATCGTAATGCCATTACACAAGGCATTCTGCAAACCAGAAAAACCTACAGGCCCTTCTCCAGACATGTGACACTCAAAATGAGAAAATTCAAGCAACGTGGAAGATGACTGCCGGTTTGCAACACAGACATGAAAGTGAGCACAGCAGACAGCTTTGCCCTACTTTGTTTCTTCCCAGTAAAAGTACAGAAATACAGCAAGATACTAGAAACTGTCTCATACCTGCGGTGCAGGAGGGTTTGCATAAACAATTGTCTTCAACTTCTTACAAGGAAGTTTTTCCACAATATAGCTGCTTTCTGCTAAAATCAGTTAGACTTTTACAGGAATGAATGGCACAAAAGGATCATTTCCTCTGAAGGCCTTACCTCAATCTGTAAACTGTCATGCTCTACAAGGAAGTCCAGTCTAGAGGGTGCAACATCAAAGGTGATTCTCTCTCCCCTGTAGAATGGTATCTGAAAGGAAAAACATGGCTTTGTGATGAAATGAAAGTTAACAACCCACKGAATAGACAAGCAATGAGTTTCTAGTCACTCACCACGGTGTATTTCCCACTTGGCAGAGAAAGAAAGCTGAAAGATCCATCTTCTTTTGATACAACATTGCACAAATAGGATAAAGACTCATCTCTGGATTGGAACCCATCCACAGGAGAAATATTGCAACCCACAACATCCTGCAATAATAAATGCAATACAACCTTTTGTCACAAGGAAGAACAGAGAAAATAATTCGGGGCGGGGATATAAGAGGGTTCAAAATACTCAACTCTGAATGAATCAATGGAAGTATAAAGCCATTTTAGAGGCAAAGTCTGATGGCATGGCTTAAAATTCATGTACAGGTAAAACAGGAAAAAACAGCCAAAAATAACTCTGTGGTAACAAGGACAGAACACTGGGAAATTCAGCATCCCCAGAACTCCACCATGTGTCTTAACTGACTTCAGTTCTGTGGACAGGGTTAACATTACAGAACAGAGCTCCACTCTACATGACCAAATGCTTCACACTCATTTCTTAACACACTTGTAAGGTGGCAATAAAAGCTGTTGAGCTTTGTCCTCCCATCAAGAGGGCAAAGAGTAATTAAGATTCATTCTGAAGACAAATTACAGCTACTGTACAATGAATTACGAAATAATTCCATGGAGGTCGTGTTGGATTGCAAGGAAAAAGAAAATCACATGGAAGAGCCAAACATAAAAATACAGTTTGAGGGGTTGCACAAGAGTGTGAAGGACTGAAATGAGCATCAGGGCAATATCARTCTGGAAGCTATTCAGTTCTTATTTATGTCCATACTCATATTGAAAAGGAACCGATGCACCATTACCTCTTTAGAGACCGAAGAGGAGAAAAGGAGAAACATAACCCCTTTCATGGGTTCTCCATCACTCCTCACAGACCCAGAGACRTTGTAGCCTGCCACAATCAGGGGGCTGGCAGCATAAGCATTGGAACTTGTCACCCGCACCACTGTCTTGGACTGAAATACAGAAACAAATGTTTTCACCAAAAGCAGGCATTAGATCTCATTTACAGCAYCTAAATAAAAATCAGAGGCTGTATATTCAACAACAGGAACAGAAGCCAGTGCAGCACTACTCAGAGGGTCCCCAGGCTACTCAAAACACAAGGACACTATAAAGCAAAGGTCCTTTTTAAAACAGTATTTTGTCTCCTTTACTGATTTAGGAAGAKGTCAGCACCTCAGAGATCCTCAAAMTGCAAGYAGCCTAAGATCAGAGAATGTGCTACAATATTCAAGCTCTTGCTTGAATGTAYAGGATCAGAAGATGGAAAGCAAGAGCTCATTTGCCAGTCTTTCCCTGGCTGGCTTTACTGTCTCCAAACTGGGCMTGCATGAGGCAGTTTCTGATGACCTGAAACAGGTGTACAAAAACTCCAGTACCCTTGTTCACTCACAAAACCTCTTCCTCACACTATCTGATCCAGAAAAGGTCTTGTAGATCTATCCATCCCAAACAGGCAACCCAAAACATTTGTAGGCTCTAACCTCTTTCAACATCCAGGTAGGGTGCGATGCAAAGATCTCATATTCACCAGGAAGAACTTTAAAGAAAGCAAACCTGCAAGGCAAGAAAGGRATTATGTCTCTTCAGAAAGTCACAAACATTTATCCACAGAAAAACAACTCAAACTTTATTCAAATGTTAGAAAACCTATTTCAGAACTCTTCCAGTCCCAGTCAGAATGGCAGAATTGAAAGAACCTCGTGCAAATGAACTGATGAATTAAGTATGCACCACCCACACTCACTTTCCTCCAGGTTGTGTAATAGTTGCTTGTATGTTTATGTCACTGCCAGCATTTCTCAGTACAACCTGAACTCCAGCAGGACCTAATGTCTGACCTTTGCTGAGAAYCTGTCAAAATAAAAAGAAATCGAAGTATAAAGGAATAAAAATAACTTGTAGAGCTGAAGTTAAATGTTTTTATGAAGGCTGAATTAACATAAGGTGGAATAAATAAAGACAAAGGAGTCTAACCTTTCCATTCACAGAAAATCCTGTGAACACAAAGTTAATATCACCTCCCTTTGTGCAAATGTCATTAATGCCATCCACATGGATGTCTACACTGGTCGGTTCTGGAAGAGAAAAATGAAGAAACAACARGGTAGTTTGTGAGAGAGCATTCACAAAGAAACTATGCTTCAACTTTACAAAACTGTCACAGAAATGTATTAATTAAACCATGCCAGGTGTTGCTCTGGAAGTCTTTCCTCAGCAAAGTTRAAATATCCCCAAACCCTGATGATGAAAATCCTCTTTCCCTCCTCCCGCTGCAGCCACTTCTGTCAGAAACCCATATTCCTTCAAATCAGCTCAAGGGTTACTTTGTCAGTGTCTACCACATAGCTTTATTTTCCCCTGGTACAGTAAGTACATTTCAGACATTAAAACATGCAGTATGGTTTATGTGTTTTGAAAAGTGCTCCACTTTCCCTRCCAGCTGCAAGTTAGAGATAAGTCCCACACTGCAGATACAGTGTCCTATTATAAGAAGACATACAAGCACTTACCAAAACTCCACCCTAGGGGAGGCTCAATTTTAAGAATGAAATCCCCCTAAAAAATAAAAAGCAATAACTGTCTTCATTGATTTACATTCAATTTAGCTACAGGATGAAAAATAAACTCAGAACACAAGCATTGCGCTGCAGAGAGGAACACAGGACTCGAGTGTACCATTCTCCTTTTCTCCTGCTTATGATACTCTGTTCAAAGAAGCAGCAGTATCTACCCAGACAGGCTGGGATGCTGGGCTCACATCCAGCTGAGAGCAGAAATTAAGGATCACCACATTTATACTGCTTCCAGCACAAACCTGGCTCACATTCAAGCAGCTCAGTGCTAGAAAGTGGTCAAATCTATCTTTACCTGTCCCAGCAGATGGGCTCTAAATCAGCCTTTAACATTTCCACTAGGTTGTACTCAACCATTCTGCCCAAAACCGGGATAACAAAATTCCAATCCTTTCAAAAGCTCTGCTCCCAAAGGGTATTAATCAACACAGGGAKCTTCATATCAGAGGGCATCACATGTGYTCTGCTATATATATTCTGAAGCTCRWCCATGGAAAGGCTCAGAGGCCTAAGAAGTACATCACTGGGATCAGAAACATGCTACATTCTTACACAGGAAGGGAAAGAATTAYTTGRTGGTTGGACTAGATAAYCYTTAAAGGTTCCTTCCAATCCAAACCATTCTGTGTTTCTACTTCTGATCCCCAAGTTAACTCGCTCCCTAAAAGAGCAAACCACTTYGACCATCTGAGTGCAGCTTGTATTTAATTTGAATATAAACACCTTCCCAGTCTCAGCAGACATCAAATTACTGACACATTTGGAGCCTTCTGGATCATTACTTTCTTAAGACATTTTCAATATCTGCAATTAGCCATTCAGGTTATTTTCAATTTAGTCATACCAAAACACCTTATCATATACATTTATTTCCATTTCTACAGGCAGAAAACCTGAATGCATTATCTGTACTCTGTAGGAGCAGTATTGGTACAACTGCAGCACAGCTGGCAGTAACTCAGSCTCTAAATGCTGCAGTCATGCCAATAAACAGCACAAATGCAACACTGCAGCTACTGTTAGCTGGCTTTTCATAATTAGCACTGGGAAATGAAGCAGTTGCCTTACAAAAAGAAACAGCTCAAACTTTGGTCCAAACCAAACTAAATTATGTCCTGATTCAAATGTTTCATGGGTGGGTGTTGTTCTGAGATTTAATCTGCCGGCAGATCGAGGCGGAGGCAGCTGCTGGGGACAGCACAGAGGGGACAGAGCAAGTATTTGTGTCTTACCTTGTCATAGAGGGGAATCATGAAATACCCATTGTTCGGMGCACAGTCTGTCTGGTATTTCAGGGTACCATGTTTTGTATATAACTTAATCTAAAAGAAGCAAACAAAAAAGACACAAAAATATTTTAAAACCAGGCGGGGAGCGCTGGAACCAGGCAGTCTCTAACCCAGCGCTGTCACACAGCAGCGGCAGCTGCCGGGCCCAGGGGGCAGCAGGACACGGTTTATGGCCAGCAGGCTGCAGAGTGCCAGGGTGAAGAAGAGCCGCAGYTCCACCGCCACCTGTGCCCGCGGCCCGGCAGACAGCGCTCGGCACGCCCGGCAGGCAGCCGGGGCCGGCGGCGGGCGGGGCGGCGGCGCCCACCTCGATCAGCGAGTAGTTGATCTCCACGTCGGACTTGACGAAGCCGCCGCAGCCCACGACGATGTCCTCGGAGCCCCGMGCCAGGGCGCAGCACAGCGCGCACAGCAGCGGGACCGCCGCCCGGGGCCGCATCCCCTCACCGCCGCCACCGCCCGCCGCCAGCGCTGCCGGAAGGGCCGCACCGCACGGTGCCGCGCCCGCCACAGCGCCCCCTGCCGGCTCGGAGGGCTCGGGCACTGCCCCGGGACGCCCCGCCGGASCCGCCCCGGCCCTGCCCCGTGAATTATCTTCCCCCGATAAATCTTCTCACCTTTCGTAAAAGTAACTGATGCCAGCTGATTTTGCAACAGGGATTTTTGTCTTCAGTCTGTATGTTCTCACCTTTTGTAAACGTAACTAATGTCATTTAACTTCTACAAAAGAAGTTGCTCAAAAAAGAATTTAGTGTTTCAAGCGTTGTGTAAGTTACGTCACAATATAAATATGCATCAGATAGGCGGAGAATATTACATGGGCGTGTTCATGTAAATTCTACTGTATTTAAAAARTGTTAGTTTTAYCCCCTTGGCGWGCTGGATTTGTGGAAAGAATAMACAATGTCTCCTTTYTAAACTAGACTCTGTTTATTTAGAAAGTTCCTAAAATCGGCAGTCCGGGGGCTCCGCTTCGGTTCGCGGTGCTGCTGCCGCCGCCGTGCCCGCGGCCGGACTTTGGCCACAGCGGGACGGGCGGGGCGGGACGGGGC